AGAAACACCCCCAACATCAAACACTCAGGACAACCATGCACTAAATTTAATAAATAATTGTAATCTACAAATTCTGTAAGACGTTTATTTTATTAAAAACGAACATTAAACACATATACAAATCATAGAATATATGTATAGACTGAGAGTTTTTTTATTGGTGTCAAAATGAAGGGTCGAAAATTGAATCAGATTATGTTAAATATATTTTGAACGACTTTTAGGGGCCGTTTACCCAAATACTTACCCGGTAAACGCTTACTAATAGGAGTCAACACTATAATTTATTTAGATGCGTAAGATTTTAGTACATCAAAGCATATCAAATGCAACAATTTACCAGGTAAGCATTTACGTGGGTAAGATTCGTCATCATCACTTACCGGGTAAGACTCTCCATCATTCTCATCGCTCTAACCCGGTAAGATTCTTGGCCCTTCTCATGTTCATCTGATGAGGAAATTTATGCGTTAAGCACTTAGCAAGTAAGTGTTTAGTAAACGACCCTTTAGTTATTTTTCAACACGTACTATTTGTGAATAATTTTGTTTTATTTTATCTGATCATTCATTATCAACAAAATATAATTAAAATGAATTTAATATCATTAAAATTTTGAAAAGAGGGTTTTGGATGTGTTGAGATTAGATTTGTGTTTGATGTTTTTAAGTACATAACGTGACACTTACCCTTCATATTATTACTCAATTAAGTAACTGCGTAAATCAGTTGTACTCACAGCCATCTTTTCATACTTCCCCCCTATACTTTTCCATATATACACGTTTTACCCCCTATAAAGATTTAAACGTCTTCTTTAATCCTTATGCAAAAATGTAAACCGTTATTTCATCGATTTTAACGGAATAAAAGGTACAAAATGTAATAGTTTTTGTGATGAGATACATTTGTTTTGTTTCTCAATAAAAGTTATTTAAAAGACAAATTGCATTAAAAAATAACGTACTTTCAGAACATTATTTTGATACCTATGTAAAGTTTTAAACATTTAAGTACCCGGATAACCGGTAAAAGCATTAACTGGTTATCATGCTGATGTGGCGAGTGATGTGATATCCAACTCAATATTATTTGTTATTCAACCCAATTTCATCTTATCACTCGTCACATCACCATGATAACCGGTTAATGATTTAATCAGTTACCCAGTTACTTAAATGTTTAAAACTTCACATCTTAGGTAGTTAGGTACCAAAATAGAAGTTTTGAAAGTACGTTACACATAATAGAAATAAAGTTAAAGTACGTTACTTTTTCATGCAATTTTTTTCTTTACTTAAATGTTTATATAAAATTTTATATAAATAACTATATATATATATATATATATATATATATATATATGTTACTTCACTCATTTCCAAGTTCAATTATTTTTTATGTTTTTCAAAAGGAAGAAAAAAAAATAAGTTTAAAGGCAAAATAATACCTTGTATATCACACTACAACCAAATTTGCTTTATCCGACGTCTCATATGTTTGAGTCTTAATTATTAGAATATTTTTATATAATATTAGTGGGTATTTGCATAATATAGCGAGATATATCTTAATTTTAATTTTTTTTTGTCTGAGTCGATGTTACAATACGGTTTTATGTGGTACTAAGAAAGCGATAATGTTTTTATTTTTAAATAAAATACAATTATGAAGCTATCATAAAGAATTAAAAAAATTGCTGATATTAGCACCAAACTTACTATTTAAAATTTCTCTTTTTTATGTATTTCTTTAATTCTTTTTTTATTTATTTTTTCTTTAATAGTATATTTTTTTATAAAGATAACAATTAAGTATTTTGTTAGAACTCAATGATTATCATAATTATATTTTAGATTTTATATCTAAAATGAGATATTTATCCTCTAGATTATGTTTATCTACAATTATTTACACGAATTCAAATATGAAACTTTAATAAGTTGTACTTACGCATAATTTACATTTAATCTTGAGGTTTAAGTAATAGTACTTCATGCATAAAAAATGGTTTTTAAAAGTTTTTGTCAAATGTTATAAATATAGTATAGATAAGTTTATAACACTAAACTATATATCATCCTATATAAAAATGTTATAATAGGTTTATAGGACATCTTTAAGCTTTCTCACATGTTTTTACTATGCTTTTAAAATAAGTGTTCTAATAGAATGTTTTAAAAGATTTGTATTAATATCATATCTAAATGTGTTATGAGTGTACATACATACATACATACATATGTATGTATGTATGTATGTATGTATGTATGTATGTATGTATGTATGTATGTCTACAGGACGATTTTGGACATGTTAACAAGTTTTTTAGAATAATTTAAAAATAAATGTTTGTATTAAGTATTTTATAAGACACTATTTAAGAAAATGTCATATAAACGTGAGTGTCATAATAAAAAAAATGTGTTAATGTAATTTGTTAACGTTAAAACCACAACAGAAAGATAAGGAGTACGTAGCTGACTAGCCGGCACCGGCACAACAAATTATATAAGGCACATTTCTTACATTCAGTTTTTTTATTTTATTTTGAAGTATATAATATTTATATACTTCAAATAAAATTAATAAATCAAAACACTCTCCTCATCTTTGGTGAGGTTTGAACCATTTTCCTCATAAGAGATCAAAAACTCACGTACCGCTAGGCCAAAGTGTAACATCCAACTTACTAAAAGCCCATTTAAGTTGCTAAGCATGTTTAATTAAATTAGTATAGTATTTGATGGATTAGTACTTACTTAAGTTAGATTGGAATATGGACTTCTGGATCGAGTTAGAGGCTGGAATTTTATATTTAAGCCTCTTATATATCAACTATGAGATCTGAAAAGTTTCGTGCGAAACGGAGTTGAAACGACCAAGTTACGCATGAGGGACTAAAACT